AATAGAGAAACGGGCCAGTATCCTGGTGCCCCCACCCCCTCAGCTGGCGAGCTGGGCTCATCTGGCCTCCTGGGGTGAGGGACAAGGGAATGGGGCTCAGGCCAGGGCGGGAGGCAGGCCTCGGGCGGGGTCAGGCAGAGGGGAGGCAGCAGGGGGAGGGGCGTGCTCTAGGATTTCCCAGGTTGGCTGGGGGCAGGACCTGGTCCCTCAGGTGGGGTGCGGCTCAGAACGACCTCCAGGAGGAGCTGGGGGGGGAGACAGGGACCTCGTAAGGTCCCCACCTGCCACCTGGCAGGACATGGCTCCTCTCTGAGCGGCCCGTCCCTTCCCGGGGGCTCAGAGGAAGACATCTCAGAGCAGAGGGGTCGGAGGGGGTAAAAACTGTCCCGGCCCCGGCCCCCCAGGTGCCCGCAGCCCCCCAGGACTGCCCATCCCAACGGCCCGAGTGTGGCCTGAGGTGTGTGGCCCAGGAACCCTGACCTCTGCTGTGGCCTCTCGCGTCCCCTCACCGTCCCTCCTGCAGGGAAGGCCCACCCACCCCGAGGAGGATGCTGCAGGGGGAGCCCCAGCACCCCAAGGGCCCTGGCAGCTGCCACCCGGGGCCTGGGCGCCTGGTCCCTGAGTGCAGCAAGGGAGGCGCTGTACCCGGAGCCTGGGCCGGCCCCCGCTCCCCAGCCCTCAGGACCGGGCCGCCTCTCCTGCCCTCCCTCCAGAATGTCCTCAGCAGCTTGGAGGACGGGGAGGAGGGAGAGGCCGGTGGTTCCCCCACCAAAGCCATGACTCAGTGCCTGACGCCCCACCCAAGGGAGGGGGCACCAAGTACAAGGGGTGGGCGGAGGCCCGGGCCTGTCTGGGTGAGTCTGGTCCCCCGAACCACGTGCATGGGGCTGTAGGGCTCCCCCAGGCCAAGAGCACACAGGCCGGCCCCCCCTCCCAGGGCTGGGGTCACATGGCCCCACATCCCTGACCACATCCTCCTGGCCGGCCGACCCTGACTGCCTCCTCCAGACCCACCTCCAGGAAGCCCAGGTGACATCCTCAGCTGCAGCTGAGCAGATGGGGAGCCTCAGGCGGCCTCACGCCCCCATTCATCTCAGCCCAGCCCAAAACCAGAGCGAGGCTTCTGTGGCCCAGGGTCCCGGGGAACCCAGAGCCCCCACCAGGCCGGGCCGGGCCCTTCCAGGGGCAGCCCCTCCCTGCCGGGAAGCCCAGCGATGCCACCGCACCCACTGCGGGAGCCACAGGCAGAACAGGCTGCTGTGGGAGGCCAGGCCCAGAGGTGACGGGTGCTGGGCCCCGGCCTGACCGGGCAGGTGAGCCAGGACTCCTCCACGCAGGCGGCTCCGCGGGCGGGGCCAGGACCAGGCCAGCTGAGGCCCCGCGCGCCTCCCTCCACCGCTGGGTCCCGGAGGGCAGGGGGCAGAGGTGGGGCAGGATCACGCGTGCATGGTGCATGGTGCATGGTGCACGGACCCCTTGCTCACACCCCTCCCTCCGCCCAGGGCTTGGGCCACTCTGGCCCGACCGGGCTCCTCATCCCAGCCTCCCTGGGGAGGCGGTTGTGCAAGAGGCTGCTGCTGGGGGCTGCACACCCACACGGGCCCTTGTTGGCACCCCCCGGGGACCTGGCACGCACACTACACGTGACCAGGCGCTCTGTGCACAGGGTCACAGTGGACAGCTCCTGGGCCATCCCAGGTGCGTGTGCGGCGGCACAGTGCACACGCGGACACACGTGCAGACGCGTGTCACGGGGCTGGGACTCACATGAACAAACTAACATGTGTGTTTAGGGGCAACACTCGCACCAGCATGAAAAACACACAGCCCACGTCCACGTCCACGCCAAGAAGCCACAGGTGACACGCGTGCCCGCGCCCAGGGCTGGTGTGCACACATGGGCCCAGCAGGCCAGCGCGGGGGTTCAGCTCACCCCCACGTTCACACCCCGGCTCTGGCACCCCAAGGTAGGGGGCAGACGCGTGTGCACCTGGCACATGGGGTGCGTGTGCTGCACACGGGTGCGCACGCCTGCTCTCCCAGGAAGCACCGAAGACACGCACCCTGGACGGGTAGCTTTTGCCCTCTACCTATTTCTTCTACCACATTTTAAAAGATATACTACACTTTTTACTTAGCAGAACTTGCTTATTCAAAAAATTAGACTTTGTGAAAAGCTTAGAATTCCTACAGTTTTATTATTTTTTCATTGTATTT